TTCGAAATTGATTGAGTTGTTTCTTTTCCACGTGATCTTGCCACTGACATTTCTAAGTTGCTTGAAAATATGTTATATCTTACATCACATGTAAAAATCATGTTGTATCTTACATCAAACGTAAAAATAATGCCCTCCTTAATTACACCTACAAAAGTTTAATATGCCAGAGCCAACTTTTCTGTCCAGTTTCTAACAGTTTGTCTCTCATTTTGAATTACACTTCGTGACTTATTAAGCCATAAACTAAATTATCTGTTTTAGTTGTTAAAATGTGAAACGAACGAAACAAAACTATCGTGTCAGGAAAGGTCAATTCTGTCTAATAATTTCCCTTCTTAACTTCTCTATTTTTATTGGATTCACCAAAGCTAAAATAAAAATTGTACGCTGATACGTCACTACTTATTCACATTATATGTCTAAAATTTGACTCCAAGTACATTTGGCTCTCGAAAGAACTGTCTTCTCTTTAAACGTTTCAGTTTTGCCTCTCTTACACATAAATACACTTTCATACTATTTCAAGTAAAAGGTTATAAAATACAGTTACAAATTAATGATTGATACATTTATATGTCTGACAACTGCTAATTGAAGTTTATAAGTTATAAGGTACAATATATGTAAAATTTTGAAACATCTTTCTAACAACCAATGCTTATTTCCAACAACACCATAGAAACTCATAATAGGTATTGTTCATATATTATATCAAGCTCAAGCTTCACTTTACAAATTTCCTTATGTTTTCAGGGCCTATTATTTTTAAACTATTTGAAAACAAAAAGACACATGTAAGCGTTTAGCTGTCCAGACTACATGTTATATTACAAATAATCGTATTTTACGTCTCACTGGCGTTTCAAGAGTCAAAATCTTGTTATTCTCAGATTAAATGCTACACACGACTCAGATTAGGTTTTACAGGTGACGCGTTACAAAGATTATTAGGTAAATGGTACTCTAGTTTATGTGCTTAGTCATTTGGTAATGTTTCTCATGACACTTAAGTTTCACAGTATGAATGATTATTATATTACAGTACAAAATGTATATTTTTTATCAAGGCTTGTAATTTCTGTTAGAACATTACGCGGTTCGAAGCTTACATTCCAGAGTTACGGGTATGAAACCACCAGGTGGTGAAAATAAAAATGGAAAAAGCTCGTGCTCGCTTGTCATAATAATGAATTCAGTTGCTTCAAACTAAGGTAAATTCCTAATGAAAGGTCAAACCCATGCTATCCCAGAGAATAAAAACTGGAGATGGGTGTGCGAAAGAAAATTTTCAGTTTCGACTTGACATCGTTTATGAAACTGCTGAAATTCATGGATTTGTTTTGAAACGATTTCAGTTAAAAACAAAACCGAATATGAGTCTCAAACGCTTTCGAGAGTCATTTGAAGAGCGCGATTATGAATTTGAAATGATTTTGTTTTGAAACAACACGTATTTGAAGATTTCAACCTAAATCTGCATAACGTCACAGAATGATAAAAATCTTGAATAATGACATGAAAATATATTGTATATCCTGTTTCTTTTCACAATTTTTCTACTTGCTTAAAACTGAGAGACATTTTTGTGTGGTCCTTCTTTTCATTTGAGGCCTAGCATGGGCTAGTGGTTAGGGCGCTTGACTCGTAATATACGGGTCGTGGGTTCGAATCCCCGTCCCACCAAACATACTCGCCCTTTCAGCCGTGGGGGCGTTATAATGTGACGGTC